TAATTGATGAAACTTACCCAAATTTCTCAGCTTTTCTAAATGATCACATGAGAACTTTTTGCCTCGAACAGAAGAGTTTCCAAGAGATTTATAGCAAAAATCGTAGCTGTTTCCATTGGAGTCTGTGCAAATACAATTGTCTGAAGTTAGCTGAAAATAAATGATTAAATGGTGATAACTCCATATCTATTGAAAAGTGCAGAAATAGAAGGACAATATAGCTTACGAAGTTTTGCAGAGTATAACGAATAAAGAGGAAGATTGATACCAACAAAGATATCCGTAGAACGCGCCGTTGGGAGATGTTTAATAAAGGAGCATTTGTCAATAGTCGACCCTCCATAGGCATTGTTACATCCTGGAAAAAAATAGAAGTAAGAGGCTGAGACGTGCACAAACTACTAAATGAGAAATGGCTCTGAAGGTCAACCATGGAGCCGTCTTCATTTAGAGAACGATGAAATTACTGGACCAGTGTTCGCAAGGGAGACTAATCTGAAATAGAGCTGTGTAATGGTCATTTGGGTGTGCGAAGCCAGGACCAACTGCTATCAGAAGATGTAAATTTTTTAAGATCCGATCCATACTTCTTTAACCCTTCATTGAGATGCTCAGTTAAAGAAGGATTAAAAGATTAGAATTGGAGTTTTGAGTAGCAGCGATAGGCAGCTTTCAGATTTTCAATTGATACAGTTCTTTTTATTATGAAGATCTTTTAATGTCTGATAAGCCACACTGCAGAATAAATCACGGGGTGTGGGAGAAGGGGGGAGGAGTTGAAATTGTGAGTAATAATTTATTAAAGTGAGTTAATTTATACGTAATCTTGATACCATGGAAGAGCGTCAATCAAGCAAATTATCAATCCGTTTATCAGTATCAAATATTTAATTTTTAATTTGATTGTCAAAACAAGTCTCAAGCGCATGTAAATTATATAGTAACAATGTATTAAATTTATTAATAATTATGAGTATTGGTTTCAAATGTAAGCTAAGCCCAACAGATCGGTATCCTGCCAAAACGAATTGATTCAAATTTCTGTAAATATGATGCGTATCAATACTGCTTGCAGTTTTTTAGATGTAAGCAATGTTGAGATTATTTTGTAAAAGTAAAAACTTGAAGGTGATTGATACAAAGCCAGAAAAGAGCACCCAAACATGTATGAGATGTAGACATTTTCTTCTGGAGTTTGCTTGATGAACAAATCAACTATGCTGAGCAAAGCGAAAACCCAAAAATAGTTGCAAATGTTGTGGAGGGTCGTATGCATAATTTGTTGGGGGGCCGCACAGCGGCACGCTTTAGTGCGAATTGAGTTAACGAAGGAAATTGGAGCATTGGGGCGAACACAATTAAAGGGTCTAATCAGCTGGTCTTCCTACTATTTAATGAGAATGAACAGTGCAAACAAGATTTGTGTCTTGAGTCAAAGTTTACTGTTTCATAAATTATTGTATGAATTACAAATGTGACGATATGCAAAAAAAAACTTGCTCTCTAATTCTTGCTTGCGGAACGATCTCTTACCGCGACGTGCATAAGAAA